TTGGGGGACACCTAGACACAAACCGTAACACATTTCACGTACTCTCTTCTCTATTATCTTTCCAATCTACTGAATTAATGTCTCTGAGCACAGTCAGTTTAAATATGTAGGACCTTGGATCATTGAATAATCTCCCTTTTCCTAATGTTTTTTAAAGTTTTTTTAAATTGACACATTAGAGCTGCCACATTTTCTTTGACATAGTGTGATAACTTGAAACATGTATACAATGTGTGAGGATCAAATCAGGGTGGTTAACTTTCATCTCCTTAAATATTTACACAAATAACCACTTCAAATAAGACCACCTACCAAGCATAAGCATCTGTTTGGGCTGAAAAAGAAATTTTTGTTATGTTCAGACTATTAAAGTTCTGGGTGTATTTACTACAAAAACTAGCCTAACATAAGGCTCAAGCAGAAAAAGCATATCAGTGGCACTTTTCAGAGCCAAAGTTTGAATATAGGTCTTTTTAATTTAAATTCTTATCCCTATGCTAATCTAATGATAATAATCCAATAATGATAATATTAAAAACTACCCATGTGTCTTAGCCAGTTTTCTGGGGCTATAGCAAATCTCTGAGATAATCAACTTATGAGGATAAAATCTTTAATTTGGATCACTGTTGTGCAAGTTCACGCCTGCTGCATCATCACTCTTGGACCAAGGAGCATCTTGGTAGGGGGTGCAAACTTCACGGCTGCTCGCTTTGCAGCTGGGAAGCAAAAGGAGAGACAGGAAGTAGGAAGGTGAGTCCCACTATCCTCATTCCAGTGCGTGTCTCCAACAGCTGAACGACTTCTCTGTACATTTGGTGTCTTAAACTTTCTACCTCCATAGCTGCATGTTGAGTGAGGATAAAGCCTTTAACCCATGCGCCTTTGAAGGACACTGGAGATCCAAATTATAGAACTAGGTTAAAATGAGGAAGATCTTTTTTTAACCCAAATCTTAAATTCAAATCCATAACATCTGAATTAATCAGAAACAAGGGTTTTCCTATTTCTAAAAAAGCTTCTGTGCATCCTCATTTAAAAAAAAATATTTATTTATTTGTTACAGGGTCTTGCTATTCAGTGAGCTTCCTATCACAGCCTCCGCAGCACTGGGATTACAAGTGCATGCCACCATGCCTGGCATGGCATGCAGTACTCAGATCTGGGTCCTTGTGCTCTCCAGGCAGGTGTTTAGACTGCTGAACTATCTCCCCAGCCTCCTCTGTGTATCTTCTTATTTTTATTTATTTATTTATTTTGTATTTTAGGGAAGGGTCTACAGGGTGTTCAGGGTCTCACTACTAGATCAGACTCATAGTGATCCGCCTGTTTACAGCCTCCCAAGAGCTGGGATTACAGGGACATACCACCATGCCCAGTCTAAATTGCCTCTCCACATGCCCTGGGGGCGGGGCTGGCAGGCAGGCCTGGGGATCGAACCCCTGCCCCTGTTCCTGCTTGTAGGCACTTTAATCCACTGAGTTATTGGGCTGTTCTGTATCTTCTTATTGATACCTGTACTGTAGAATCAGGTCTTCCATCCCAGTTATCTGGGGTATTCTTTCTACCCATAAGTGAAGCACGAAAGACAATAGCTAGTTAGGATTTCTAACTGTGGTAAAGCATATTTCAAACTTATCTGATGACAAAGCTCTTTCCCAAAAAGCACCTAAAGGAACTAGTGTTCCACCAAATATACTTAGAAATGCAAACATCAGTCATGCCTATATCTATTGGTACTTGAATCTGGGTCTAGTACTAATTGAAATTTAGTTCCTTTACCCAAGGGAAATGTTGGTTTCAGCTGTAAACCTTTGCACAGACTGCCTATTATTGATCTCTGACAAATGATTATATCTTGAACTTTGTCTAGTTTTGACTACTTTATCCTCTGTCTTTCAGACATATCAATACACTGTTACTTTATGATCACAGCCTTCTTCCACTTGTTTTTGCCCTAGTTGACAGAGCAGAAATAATCTTCTGCAGTACAGTGTATTTTACAGTATTAATTCTTGATTCAATCAACCACCTCAAATAAAGGGGAGGTGTGCGGTAATGTTAGTGGCATAAAGAAACATCTCTTGCTGGTCTTGTTATATATCTACATTAGTAAAATATAGTGTAGGCACTTCATATGAACATTTATGTTACATGGAATTAACTTGACATACTTAGTACTCTGATCCTAGACAGTGAAAAAAAAATTGCTTAAATGAAGGCAGATAGATTATTTGTTACGAAGTGTCACAACCAGACTTCATATAACTTAAAATTTGCCTAAAAGAAGATTAATTGTCCATACAATTGGCAAAAGAAAGTAGGTATTCCTTTCCAGTTGAAGTAGAACCAAGATGGGTGAAGAAAAATCATGGTTTCCAATTCACTTGGCAGTTATAAAACTGTATGTATGATTGTTGATACAAAAATGTGAGAAATTCTATTATAAATATTGTCAATCATATGAGAATTTCTTAATATTATGTTTCATTCTTTCAAATCTGCTCAGTTTTATAAATTGTTTCTGTATTGCAGTGTGGGTGCTTTCACACTCCATCCCACTATATTTGTACAGGAGATTTAGTCTGTTAGGAGATATGACTGGTATTTCTTTCCTTCCTGTGTGACTTTCATAGCAGAAAATATCCCCTTCCTATAAATGCAAACCAACTATTTAATGTAGCCTTATTTAAAGAAACTAACAACTATTAAATGTTGCAAAAATTGGCTTACTGAATTTATGGAAAGATGCTTCTCCATAATGTCATATAGTTTTTAAGAACATCAAAGGTAATTTTGAATATATGTAATTTTAATATATGTAATTTTTCTCTTTATATGTCACCGTTAGAACTTTACCTCCCTCAAAAATGATTTTACTTAAGGTTAAAGGGCATTATTGATTGCCAATCAAGCCTCAGTACTTCTTTCTTTCAAACAAAAACATATTTCAGTGGTGGGGAAATTATGGCACACATCATTTCTTTAAGATAAAAGATGTTAATGTATGAGTTGTTTTTCTAAACAACTAAAACCTTATTGTTCAGATTTCATTGTAGTGTTGACCCTTTGTAATGAATATGCGAGTTTTGGGCTGCACTTTGCACATTTGTTTAAAAAGATTTGCCATGACTGCCCTATTTATTTAGGTAGTGACCCTTCAGCCAGTTAGGAGGAAAATGACCTTAATACCAGTTCTAGGAACAAATCTTGATTTGTTTAGGTTTATTACTATATTGTCACCCAAACTTCTCCATTACCAGTAACTGTTTTGTACTTGTTGAGTATCCAAATTTTGGTTTATGACATATCTTTAAGAGACTTCTGCAAAGTTTCCTTAGTTCTTAACAAGGAACAGAGGAAGTGATGTTCCCGCTTATCACCAAGCATGTTTTTGAGACAAAATAATGGAGACTAGGTACCTCAAACAATAAAAATTTCTCACAGTTCTGGAACCTTGGAATCCAAGATCAAAGTGCTGATTGATATGGTTCTTGGTGAGGGCTCTTTCCCTAGTATAAAGATGGTGGCCTTCTTGCTCTGTTTTCACATGACCATTCTTTGTGTGTGAGAGCTAGGACAGGGTGAGGACCTGTATTTTTTTCTTACTTGTCTTATAAGGCTAACAATCCTACCGAGTTAAAACTCCACTTTTATGACCTTATATAGTCTAAAATACTTCACAAAACTCCTGTCTCTAAATACAATCATATTGGAATTAGTGCTTCAACATATGAATTTGGAGGAGATACAACTCCCTACATAGCAGATAATATAAACAATGCCCTTACGTTGTTTATAAATAACTTACATTTTTTTCTGTTACAAAGCCTGACAGATATCTTATGAAGCAATACTCAAAGGATAATATCTAATTTAGAACATATGACTTGAGAAGATCAAGGACTATTTTTTCTTTCAGCAGAACAAAGCAGTTGTAGAGTTAAAAATGCTTAGTCCGTTGCTGTTATAGGGCATTTCAGGAACTGCTGATCGCACATATATATGGTATTGTGCTAATATAAACAGTCTAGCTCTTAGGGAGTTTTAAGTTATAAAAGAAACATTTTTCTAAGATCATGTGCTGTGATATAAAAACCATACTCCAGTTCAGTTCTATCATTATAAATTCTGGCAAGCCAAGAGACATTAGTTGGTGATTTTATCAAGCAAGACTTCTACCTAATGGCTTGATGAAACCATCACTGTACCATAAAACATTGTAACAAAGTGAAGTGACAATTCTTTTAAGGAGTTTAGTCATTTAAGAGTTCAGATCATTATATTTTATTTATGAAAAGCAGTAACTCAGGGATCACAACAATCCTACAAATAAAAATGCATGCTTACTTTTTTTTTGCCTGCACTACATCCATTACATCTTTTGGCAGTTCATATCTAATTTTTATGACTATCTTCAATAAGGAAGTTAACTGTAGATTTCATCACATTCTAGGAAAGCTCTCATGAAACACTTTCCCTGTCATTTTAGTCATATTCTTTACAAAGTAATTTTACCCTATATTTTCAGATGAAGTATAAGCAAACAACAAAATTATATTGAAGTGAAATTTTTTTTATAACAGTAAAATTTATCTTATATTTCTAGCCATGGAAATGGATGATTAACACTTATCAAATTTTTAAAAGCCCACACCAAATGAACAAAGCTTCTAAGAAATAGATGATGAGATACATATTTGCATATACATGGATCCATATTAAAGCAATAGAACATGGGTCATTTCAAAATCTTAAACATTCTGACACTATTTTCATGAACTCAGTAATATAAACCATGTGGTGAATGAGTTCCTGAAAAACTGCTGGTTTCACTGTGTATTTTATGACTGGGGAAATGTGACATTAAATTTTATCCCCTGTGTCTTGGAGTTAAATGCTTGCTCTGTTCAGAATGGCAACACTCAATTAAACAACATTTTTCATGATCTACACCCACTATTGTTACTGTATTTAAGGGAAATAATGGGGGTACTGACCTATATTGCGCTTCTTATTATCAATGGAGACGAAGCGTATGCAGGGATTACTGGTGATGTACTGCCCAGCCCAAGGGACATCAATCTTCATGCCAGCTTCATAAAAGAGGCCCAGAGCATAGCGAGAGGAGTAGCTCACAGACTCCAGTTGCTGTCTTTGGTATTCACTAATTACTGTGGAAAAAGAAAAAAAAAGGGAAAACCTGAAAATATTTTTACTTTCAGTGCATCACCTGCAAATCTGCTCTGAGCCAATTCCAACTGCTCCCACCAACTCCATCCCACTTCCCATGAATGTGAGGAGGTAATGCAACACATCTCAGCTTTATTTTTTTTTCAGATGATTACTATGGTTGGCACAATTTATGTTACTAAGAAAGAGGTCCTTAGTTTGGCTGGAAGTTGCTTTGCGTATTAGTCATTATCCTTGGGCTATCTGGCTATATTAGAGAATTCACATTTATACAGATCACTACTGTGTGGCAAGGTCTTTGCTGAATGCTTCATATAACATTTCAGTCTCTGGTATCCAGGTGACAAGCGAGTCAAATCCTGATTTAACCACTTACTAGATATGTGACACTCATGAAGCTATTTAGTTACTCAAATTATACAGTAGGTCTTTCATCTGTAAATGACAATAGTACACAATGTATTGGTCTATTATGAAGATGACATAAAATAGCGCATAGTCCAATGCTTGGTACATAACAAGTGTTCATTAAATGGTAACTTTTCCTATCATAGACAGAAAGCTAGGAAAGCAGGATGGTATTCTACGCTGGTGCAGAGAAGGAAGAGATTTTTCTCACTCTAATTTTCACCTCTAATCGCCTTACCTTAAGGCTTCAGGGACTTTCTTGTTCATATATGCTCAGGCTTAACAATTTGAGTTTCAGAAAAGGCCCTCATTCTATTCCAAAGGTTTAGACAACCTAGTTTAGATTGGCACATCTGGGAAATTCTCATATAAATAATAAATAAATGAAAACTATCCTGATCTGAAACTGTAGGAAAAAGCCAACCTCAAAATGAGAGACAGAGGAGAAGAGGGAGTGAAAGAAACAGAAGAGTTGGATTATACTCCTAAATTGCATTAGATAATTTCACTGTCTTTGTTTCCTGTTGTGATTCTATTCTTTTAGTTTCTTCACCCATGAAAGAAGGTGAACAATCCATATTATTTCTATTTCCTGTATGTTTTGCTTATGTTTTTCTTATGTTATGCAAAAAGTTAAAGGAACCACATTAGGTCCGAAATACATAAATTGGTAAGCAACATAATTTCTTACCTGTCACATACTTTTAGGATGGAAGCAACTTTAGCTAACTTGGGAGAAGTGGAGATGTAATTTTTGGAGTAGAGACAAGTAAGAATGGGACTCAATTTTAAGCACAGCCATAATCCTGTACATTACTGTAATTAAAAAACACTTTTTAGAATCTTGGCTACCATTTAACTTTTAGAACTATGGCCTCATTTAATTTTCACCAAAACCCCACCAAGACATGCATTTGCCATCCTCATAGTTCATCTCTAGGACAGTGAGATGTGGAGACGTTAGGTAACTTGCTCTGGGGCAGGCACATCCGCATTGGGCAGTCGGGGTGAAGCCAGAACTCCCACATAAAAGCCATGGACATACATCCTCATTACCTTCAGCTTTCTCCTTCTGATAGGTGTTTCAAAATGAACCCTGACACTGCTTTTCCCTCTGACATTAATGGTTATTTTGTACTCAGAAGTAAAAGCCATTGTTCTCTTCAACGATCATTTTCTGCCTTATTAAAAGCTTCAGTTACTCGAGCCGATGCTCTTCTGACATTGGCCTCATTACACTCAATGAAATCTGGGCTTTATTTTTTATTATTTGTTCTTTTTTTAAAGTCATGAATTGATACCGTGCTTACTGTTTCTGAGAGAGAAGATGCAAAGGACAGAAATGCCAGCAGTTAAGTACATAGCACTAAATTTCTCATTTTTAAAATTAAACACAACCAAACAACAAATTTAGCAGTACAAAAAGAAAACAACTAAACTGTACAGTAAGCTATTTAGTAATTGAAAAGACCTAAAACTTGTTCTTTTAAAAATGTTTATTGATTGATTGATTGATTGGTTGATTTGGTACAGTGTCTTGCTATGCAGCGCAGACTGGTAGTGATCCTCCTGTCTCAGCTGGTGGCCAGCATGGCATGCCCGGGCTTCTGGGGTGGCAAGGCGTGTGGTACCAGGCATCAAACCCAGGTCCTTGAGCTTGCCAGGCAGGTGCTCAGGATGCTGAGCTATCTCTCCCCTAAAACTTGCTCTTTTTTTTCTTTGTTTTTAAAGCAAAACTGAAGAATCGACTAGGTTGAAAACCAAATTAGACTTTACCCCCCACATCCCTATTTGTACATTTAGCTATTTTTTTAGATAAACCAATAAGTGACAAATCTCACTGGATGGCTCTTTGCAAAGGTAATTAATGTCTACATAGAAGGGCCAGTTAACCTTAAATGCCCTTGATTGCTTGGGACAGGAGGGGCTAAGCTCATTCTGTGAAAAGGGAAGCAAGAAGCACGACTGAAATCATTTCACTTTTTGGACATGTTCACTTACAAAAAAGTTATCATAAAGGTCTCAAAAGTTTTTGGTTGTGCTGAACAAATTATTCATATATATATGTATATATATATATATTATTATGTATTTTAAAAGGACATATGACCATGACAAATGGCTTATATAAAAATGCTTAATTCTTATATAATGAATCTTTACTTAAATGCCATTTTCATTTAATTCTGATCCAGTAGTTTTATGTAATCTGTGATCATATACAGTATGTATTTATAAATTACATATTATTTATAATTATTATATATTATGTTACTTAGGGGTAAGATACCTGAATGTATGCATAATAAAAATACATTGTATGCCTATGAGACAGAGAAAGTTGCTAACATTTTCAGTGAAAAGAGTAGTCTATATGCATAATTTTGTGATATAATAGAACTGTTTATACTTCATTCTCCTTGTCTGTATCTACATATGTATATGTGTGCATGTGTGGAACAGAAGGAGAAAGGAGAAGAGAGACAGGGAGAGAAACAGAAGATCAAGGCTGTACTCTAAAATAACACTGAATAATTTCATTTTATTTGTTTCTTATTGATTCCATTCTCTTAGTTTCCTAAATGATGAGAAAGGCTAATACTATATATTCTGCCCATTTTTGATGACAAACTCTCCCATCCATGCATCCAGCATTCATCTATTCATCATCCTTGCTTATTTTATGTCAGGCACTTTTCTAGATAGAGATATAAAGTAGGGAGATAAAGTCCCTGCTCTCATTTACATACCAGGTGATAGAGAGACAAATTTACACACACACACACACACACACACACACACATACATGTAAGTAAATGGTATGTCAGAAGAAATATAAAGAAAAATAAAGCAGGGTAAGTGGATAAGTGATAGATTTTGGTGGTCAGATTACTTTACAGTGTCAATCACAGATAGATGTCTCCTCAGAGAATTTTAGTTTGATTGACACTGGAAGCTAATACTGCTTTACCAGATAAGGACATGAATAGCCTGGCTTCTGTTTAAAATTATCATCTGGCTACAAGTGAAGATTGCAGGAATGCAAGAGTGGAGCTAGGGTAAATTGCTAGTAGTCTGGATCAGAGGTAATAGCGGAAAAAGTCAGTAGTGGTTAATGTTGGATAGAATACATACAGGTGTGCATGCCTACATGTATATATGTATGCTTGTTATTAAATTAAAATTATGGGAAGTCATTAATTTGGACTGAGCTCTTGCATCAGTGCTGACAGGTCAACCCAAATGGTGTCAGTTATGTTCGGGTACCATGACAGCAAATCCAAATTTAAGCTGTTTATTTATAAGATTACACCTTCTGAGAAATCAAGAGAGAGATGATGGCCAAACTCCCAAACAGATTAGCTTTCTGGGATAGGAGGAGGGATTCACAGAAGCCAGTGATAACTGATCTAGTCAACCTCCTGAGTCAGGATGACAAAGGCATCACTTCTGCACTAACTCACCCAAGGAAGGAACGAGGTTAACTGCTGTCTTCTGCTTTTTGCACTGTTCCCTTGTCCCTGCTCAACCTGTCTCATAAAGCCAAGTGTTCTGCCATGTCCAGAGAGCTCCTGCTTGGTACAGCGGATGATTCCTGCTTCGTGAGTTGCTAATAAAGGCCAAACGAATCTTTAAAACTCAATTTGTTGATATTTTGTTCTTTGTTCTTTAATTTTGTTCAGGACATTCAGGAAACCATAACAACACAACTAACATATACTTTGTGTTAGCTTTCCTGGATCCTGGAGTTCATATATATTTAGGTTTAGTGCCTCTGCCAAATGGGTGGTTGTATCAGTCGCAACCCCCAACAGCCAACAGGAGCATATGAAAGTTCAGTTATTCCATATCACCATCAACATTTACTGTAATCTACCTTTATAATTTGGAGTGTAGAGATATCATCATGTTGTGGTTTTAATTTGCTTTCTTTTTTAAAAAAATTATTCTAAAGAGAATAAAAATTTAAAAAAATTAAAAACAATACAGACTTTCAAAAAACGAGATGATAGGAATTCAACAATTGTTGTTATATTGCATGTTGCTGCCTTCTAAGTAGTTGCTCAGATTACTATGATGATGAATATTTGGGAGCTTTTCCATATTGTCATGTGAGATTCTTAATGATCTGTTTTAGTCTTAGCTTGTTTTTTGGATATTGTCTTTTTCTTATTGGCATGCGTGTATTGTTTATATACTCTGGATATGAACATAATAGATGAACTACAAAAACATTCCTTCTAGGGACTGCCTTTTTATGCTGCTAACAATGTGGTCTGATTTATAGAGTTTTAATTTTAATTTAGTTTAATTTATCACTTTTATCACTTATAGTTATCACTTTGTGTCCTGTTTAAAATAACTCTTTGCCTACTGTTCTACCCCATGGTCATGATGTAAGTGTTTTGTTTTGTTATTTCTCTTCCCTTCTAAAGCCCTTATTGAATCACCTTTCATGAAGTTTTAGGTATTATTTTGAAGATCAGCCCAACACAGAGCTCTTACTGGATTATGAGGGAAAGAGATCAAATTAATAATATATGGAACAATTCTTTGCCTCATCTACCCTAAT